TAAAAACTCAAAGCGCATGTGCTTAGATCTCTCTCTATATATCTCTTTATTTCTACTAATAGAAGACGATGAAAAGGAACATAACATAGTGGGAGGGAGGACGAAGAGGAGGAGGAGGAGGACGAGGTGGAGGAGGAAGAGGAGGAGGACGACGAGGAGGACGAGGAGGAGGACGACGAGGAGGAGGGAGAGGAGGAGGAGGAGCAGGAGGCAGGAAGAGAGACGAGAGGGGAGGCAATGGGGGATACTGGAGGGTCCATGGGGCAGGTGAAGAGACGTTGATCAACTTCGGATACAGGGGAGGAGGAGGATGGAGGCGAGGCGGGAGAGTGGGAGTGGGAAGGTGGGAAGGGCGAGGGGGAGGGCCCCCCCCCTTGGGCCTGGCCGTCTTGGAGCGCTGGAAGCCCGAACGGGCGAGAACGCTCAAACCTTTCAGGACCTTCGGGGACATTTCTGGTTCTGGCCTCTTGGGGCCCTATTGGGGGTCCTCTTGTGGCCCTCCTGGGGCATGTTGGGAACGAGCCTCTTGTGTTGTCTTGAGTCCATCCTGGGCGTCTTGGGGCTCTTTGGGGCTCTTTTAGGCCGTCTCAGGACCCTCTTGGGCCGTCTTGGGCGCCTCTTGGGCCGTCCGGAATCGGGCGTCTTGAAGCGCTCCTGGGGGCGGCCTCTGGACCCTCTTGGACTGTCCTTGTCCTTGGGCGCTTCTTGGGACCCTCTTGGCCCGTCTTGGTGACCTCTGGCCCCATGAGAAGGTCTCGCGGGGCGCCCCAAGAGGCACGCGGGGCGCCCCCGGGGATTCGGGGCCTTGGACCCCTGGGGCCCTTAGGGAGCACGCAGAAGACTCAACATTCGGGATTGAGTGTTCTTCATGGACCCGTGGGCGCTCCACTTTTTGGGGGGTTCTCTGGGGAAGCGCTCCGTGAGAGCAGTCTCTGGGGAGACGGTCCTCCGGGAAGGTGGTGCTGTGGAAACGGTTGCCCAGGGAGAACGGTCCTGGATGCCCCGAGTTCTCGGCCCCCTGGACGACCTCAAGGCTGCCAGCTCGACGTCGGGGCCTCTTTTTTCAAGTGAGGGCCGTATCTGATGAGCCTGTTTTCCACCACCACCACCACCATAAGTTGGAGGGGAGGAGGAGGAGGAGGAGGAGGAGGAGGAGGAGGAGGAGGAGGAGGAGGACCCCCCCTCCAACTTATGGTGGTGGTGGAAAACACGCCCATCAGTATCTTTCGCTGAGGCCGAGGTGTTCAGTCCATTGCCATTCTGGATCGCAGCACCAGCCGCTTACCGATATATCGATACATCCTCGAGTTCGCGCTTGGGGCCGACGTTCTGGCTCTCAGCGCCCGCTCGCGATGACGTGCGCGCGCTCGTCCTTACTGGTGTGCGTGCAGCTGTTCTCGTGCTTGGGCGGCACATGCGCTCTGCATTCGAGGAGCGTCTCCAAATCGTTAGCGAGCACCGGGACAACATGGGCCAAGATATACCAGATCCAGGATGGTCCAGAAAGCTCGTATGCCTTCCCCCTCACGACCGGAGCTTGTGGAAACATTACTAGTTCGGAGATTGGCTCAAGTCATGCGAAGTACTCCGATTCGGACATCAACGCCATGGCGTCGGCTCGAGACGGCTACACTCACGTTTACCAAATCACGAGCTCCGATTGCGCTTCTTACCTGTACGTGAGGTCGAACGACAATTACGTCGACACATCAGCATCATTTGGCCTTACCAAGGATAATACTCAAGTTTGTTTGAGTTCAGCGTACGAGTCTTGCTCGACCTGGGCCACATTACGTTCCACGTTCCACGGCATAGACTTGCTGTACTCAAGCCCGAATCTCGGTGGGGAGACGTGCTGCCGTTATATGTTTGGGCACGGGACAGTCGATTGTCTTTTTGGCCCCTCAGGCCACCGCTGCGTCAACGGTGGCGGCGCGTGCGTCAACGTAGCCTTCAACTCCAAGTATAAGAAGTTGGACCAAGTGGCGTTTTACATCTGGACGTCGACGCCCAGCCCAACGCCCAGCCCAACGCCCGAGCCGACGTCCAGCCCAACGCCCAGCCCAACGCCCAGCCCGACGCCCAGCCCAACGCCCAGCCCATCGCCCAGCCCAACGAACCAGCCGACGTCTAGCCCAACGCCCAACCCAACGCCCAGCCCAACGCCCAGCCCAACGCCCGAGCCGACGTCCAGCCCAACGCCCAGCCCAACGCCCAGCCCAACGCCCGAGCCGACGCCCAGTCCAACGCCCAGCCCGACGCCCGAGCCGACGTCCAGCCCAACGCCCAGCCCAACGTTCAGCCCAACGCCCAGCCCAACGCCCGAGCCGACGTCCAGCCCAACGCCCAGCCCAACGCCCAGCCCAACGCCCAGCCCCACGCCCAGCCCAACGCCCAGCCCAACGCCCAGCCCAACGCCCAGCCCAA